AAATCATGAACTCAATAAATCCTTCATTGATTTCAAAGAAATTTGCCATTGAAACGAATTTAGAAGTTCATACAGCCGAGAGGGAGACCAATAAATTTATATGCAATATACCGAGTATGATTGGCAAATGTACATGTGACATGCATTATACAGAAATTGTTTCGCTCCATGCTTATAGAAAACTACTAATAATAACTTACTAAATATTATTATATTCTTCTATCATATTTTATTATTTACAAATGCCAGCAATGAAGAACGTTATCAAATCTGTCTATTTAAAAAAAAGTAAAATGGAACAAGAATTTAGATCAAACAACCATTTCCAGACGTGTTTCCAAATATAATTAGATTGGTTAAAATTGCCTACGCAATACCTTTTTCAAGTGTACCATGTGAAAAAGGTTTCTCAAAACATAATCTAATAAAACCAAAAAATAGAAATTGTAATACTTAATTGTTCCTTAGGAGATACTTTAGATTGATATTTTTAAATGATTTGTACCAAATATAGTATGAACGAACTATAACTTAAAAAATCGACGGGTTATTTAAAGTAATTTCGTTAATCTGAAAAAACGCCACTCCTATTCTTGTTTTTTATTTTCAAACCTATTTTTTTTAAAAAAAAAAAATTTGTAATGTCAGAAATAATTACAGAAATCAAAGAATTCTTTTCAAACATAGAAACCCTAATTAAAAATCATCTCGATGATAATACTCAAAACCAATCTGATATAAAACAAAGATTTAAAAAGGGAAAAAGGTTAATTGACGAACTAGAAGAAGATGATCAGAAGCAACATGGGTTTTTTAGGTTCCAGTATCACACCATTTATGCTAACTATTTGAAGACAATTGGTGAAATAGACAATGCTCATGGCCAAGAAGTGTTTTCGAAAAAATTTGAAGCATTCAGGAACTTCCATGAGAAAGAAGATACCTATAAAAAGGAATCAGAACCTACATTAGAAAACCTCAATCAATCAATTAATTTTGAAAATAATATACAAGGGGATGTAGAAAAAAAACTAAATGAGCTTAGAGGCTTTTTAAGCGAAAAGTTTATTGAAGATATCAAACAGGCTTTTAAAGTATTTAACATCATTCCAAGAACCTTTGAAAACTACAAGTATGTTGTTGCTTGCAATGCTAGTTTACGTAAATTAATGGATAATTTAATTAATGAAGGGCTAATGGATCCGGAAAGTCCTCAAGATTCAACAAATAAAGAAAATAAAAAGAAAATGTTTTGTGCCTTGAAACCTTTAAATGTAATTGCTAGTGAAGCAGCCTATGAAAAAAGAATAAATTTTATTCAGCATGTTTTAAATTCTTCTAATAAAAAAGAAATTCTATTTGACAATGTGTTCACAGAAGAAAGGATTAATAAACAATATAAAGAACTTGCTTTGTATTTCCATCCTGATAAAATTAATCATCCAAATAGTCCAAATTATTTACGCAATGAACATAAAAATCTATGTGATGAGCTCTTTAAAAATATTCAAGAGATTAAAGAGAGTTTATTGATTGATCTGGAAGATATCTCAAAAAATGAAGATGTGCTATCTTCTCATGAAAAAAAAGCAAATGAACTTTGGAGTATTGCGATTGATTATCGTAATGCATCTAAAGCACAATGGAGTAAATTGAAATTGTTAAAGAAAGATGATATCAAAGATATTCCTTCTGAAAAACTAATAACATTGTGTATGAATAACGGAATATTAGCCTACGAGAGATATCGGGCTGCTTGCAAGGTTGCAGATAGAACTAAACAGCTAAGGAAACAAGTAAAATTACGAAGTAATATGGCACTATGTTTATACATCTCCAATCGTTGTCTAGAAGCACAATTATATGCTTTATCAGCAATTAATTTAATAGTTCGGAATTCTCAGGATGCCACACAACAGGATTTGTTCAATGCAAAAGGAGTATTTGATAAAGTTAAAGGTGACGGAGCTACTAAAAATAACTCTACATTAAACAATGACAATAATATTGAAAAGTCACTGGCTTTAACCAGAAAGGCAGACCATGGAATTTCATACTCTCAGAAAACTGCAATTAAGAAGTCAATTAATGAGGATATAGATAAAATATGTACTGAATTGATACTCCATGCAGAACGTAGTTTGGGACAACCTCGAGCTTATAGTGAAGATATTTTGCATGCAAAAAAGCGTTCTAAACTCCATAAAGCAGCAGGAGCAGCAACTATAGCAAGTGGGGTAGTTGGAGGAGGAGCAGTAGCATTAGGTGCTGGCTTAGATATTATTGGAACAATTGCAATTGGAGGAATATTTGGTGGTCCACTTGGGTTGATTGGGGGGTTAGCACTTGGAGTAGTAACTCTTGGTTTAGGGATATGGAGTGGTACAACATTATGGAAGAAAGGTGCTCTTCTTTTAGAAGAGCCAATTATTCGTGAAAATCTCAATAAGATTATGGTAAAGGCACTAAAAGCTTTTGATAAGGGAGATCACCAAAAATTTCTTGATACTCTTGCAGAAGAATTTACAACAGGCATCTATCTTTTAAAGTTAAGAAGTCGTAGTGATAGTATTGACACTAATAAAATGATAGATACACTTATAAAACATGGCTTTAGACCAGATGGTATAGCTTATCTATTTAATTTGATTGGAGAGGTTTTAAATAGTGGGAAGGTAAAAATTGGAGAAAAAACAACAATGGACTTAAAGGGACTTGCAAACCATGTTTTATTAGGGGTTATAAATGAAAAACTTGAAGCTGAGGCCAAAAGACTTGATAAACGCATTTGTGAATTACGGAAACTTCATATAGGAATTTATATTAGCGACACTTTTAGAGAATATCATGGCATATCACAAGAACACTTGAAAGATGCTGAAGAAATGCCCTTTAAATCAAGGCTGGATGAAATGCGTAATATTGCAAAGATTAACCTTGCAATTTCTGATATACTGATTGCTGGAAAAGAAGAAATTAGTCGAGCTAGAACAACTATTGAGGAAGTTCGAAATTCAATAAATGCTAATTATCAATTTGTTGGTACTGTGGAAACACGTCTTGAAGTTTTGGAAGATTTTTTATGGGTTATAAGTGGTGAGGAATTGCCTGATACAAATAAAGTACCTCTAATCACTTACCCACTAGAACCAGTTCAAGACATGGATAACAATAAATATCTCTCCTATCTGAATGAAAAATTACAGAATGTATCCTTGGATCAAGATAAAAAGGATCTTTATATTAAAATTGCAGCCTGCCATGAGAAGTTAGCTGAAGAAGAGGGTACAATTAACCAGTTACACAGCCTATGTAATTGGCAAAAAGCTCAAAAGAATTATGAGAAAGTACGTAAAATAAATAGTGCAGACATAGTTGCTACTCTTGGTTTTGCAAGATGTTTATTAAAATTATCCAAATATAAACGGGTTATTGAACTTTTAAAAAGTCCATATTTAGATCTGTCATTAGAATACGAGTACTGGTACCTTTGCAGCATTGCTTATTCTAAGCAAAATGATTACAAAAAGGCAAATGAGTGTATTATTGAAGCACTGAAACTAAATCACCAAAACAAATTGGTGATTGAACAGAAAAAGCTCATTGAAAAGCTAAGGAAAGAAAACACAATAAAAAATCGTATTGATCATTATCAAGAAAAAAAAACCATAAAATGCGAAGCAGATTATCTAAAAAATTCTCGTGGTGACAATAAAACTGTTTATAGAATACTCTCCATTGATGGAGGTGGCATACGTGGAATATTACCTGCTTTATGGCTCAGTGAACTAGAATATCGTGCCCATAGACCCATTTCTCATCTATTTAACATGATATCTGGAACATCCACAGGTGGGATCATTGCTGCTGGACTATCAGCACCATCCTGGCATCAAGTCTCAACAGAATTGACAGAACCATCTGGATACAAATATTCAGAGTTTGAACCATTATTCTCAGCTTCATCTTTATTGGATTTTTATCAGGATAAAGCAAAAGGTTTATTCACCTTGAATAATTCATGGAACATCTTCAAACCAAATATAACAAAATATAACAATGAAGGTCGTCTTTCAATGTTTAAAGAATATTTTGATGGCATTCAATTAGATCATGCACTTACTCAATTGGTTATCCCTGCAACAAGCAAAGAAGGTAGCTTTACTTACTCGCATTTATTTACACACTTTGATGCACTTAAGGATGAATCAAGAAATGATACTTTTGTTGATGCTTTAATGGCCACAACAGCCGCACCATATTTTTTTCCACCCTACAACATAGAGGGTAAGGGTGTTTTTCTAGATGGTGGGTTACATCTTAATAATCCTGCAATGGCAGCTTATGGTGAAGCTATTCGATACAATGTTGCCAGTGAAAAAATTTTTATGCTTTCTATGGGCACTGGAAGCTGTATTCCAGATCCTTTCAACCCTGACCTATGTTATGGTGAACTTTTTTGGGCAGATAATCTCAATAGCACAACGCTCTCTGCACAAGAAGGTGATATTAATCAACAATGGTATACTATTTTGGGAAATAAATATCAGCGATGGCAAGTTTGGTTTGAAGAACCATTTAAATTTGATGATATCAATAATATTTCAACCCTTTTAGAAATAGGCAATCAGCACATAGAAGAACTTGATGCTTCGGATGAGAATCCCTTGAACAAACTGGTAGAGTCTTTTGAGGAACAAGAATCTAATGATTCAAATGATGACAACTATAGAAAAATTGAATAAATTGTTATTATTATTATTATTATTATTATTATTATTATTATTATTAGAAAATTTCTTAGCAAACACGTAGTGTATGTACACGTGTCACGTACGTTACATAATAAAATTTGCATCAATAAAAAAATTAAACTTTTTTTCTTATGAAAATATAAGCATTGGGGGGGGGGGGGGGGGGAGTTGCCCTTTTAAACATGCAATAATATCTACATATAAACGATATGGTAAATTTTTCTTATTACATATTAGAATATGTTTATTCATTGATAACACCGTGTTTACACACGTAGTGTACAAATAGAAACTGCCTTATTATTATTATCATCTTAATAAAATTATTTTCTGACAACATAAATAAATAATTTAAAATTAATAACAAGGATTTTTTTGGAAGAGAAAATAAATGATCAAAAAATTTTGTTCGAGATTTTATTTTTTAATCATTAGTTAATAAAAATGATAAAGATGTGAAATTTTTCATACATAATTTGGTGAACCTAAGTTGCAAATGTAATTGACTTTTGTCCAGGTAGTGTATATGATATCATTATTATTTTAAAAAAAATAAAAAAAAATTTATTATTTTTGTTAGATTTCATTAAAGATGTAAACTTGATAAGTCGGTCACTCGATAAGTCTGTTGGTCTAACTCGGCGAAATGGAATCACATCTGAAATGGGTAGTGAAATCGATGTGTAATTAAAGTTGCAACAATAAAGGAATATATGGGGCCTTTTCGATAGAAACAAGGACAACGTCAAAAATGATGTTTTGAGAAAATTGAAAAAGATCTGTATTTTTGAAGCTTCAAAGGGAAATTTTATATAAAGCGGGTATGTTTTCTAAGCTAAAAATGCTCCACCTAAATAAGTGTGATGTGAACTTAAAATCATGATTTTTGATGTTATCCTTGTTTCTACGAAAGAGCCCCATATAATTAAGCTATATTCTTTTTTAATAAAAAAAAATTGATAATTTCGAAGAATTTTATATATTATGTTAACTAATTTAAAGGTTAATCATAGTAAAGGCTTTAGGCCGCAGGGTTAGGCATCCCTTATATCCGCCTAATTAACATTTAATCGGAGTAGCATAATAATATAAATTAACTATTTATAACGTTTCAACATCGAAATAGACAAAAGCTTTACTGAAATTGGTTTTAATGTTTAATCTGACAAAAACTTTCAGTTAAGTTGACATCATTAATCACAGTATTTTAAATAAATAACAAAATGTAGGCATTTGGATATCACAATTAGCCACCGAAATACAAAATATAAGTTGAACTTACCTTTGTAGGTATCGTAATAGCGAAATATTTGAACATGGTTTTATTATAATATCTCTCACCCCGATCAAAAATTATTTGTAATAAAGGTATCCTGCACGGGATTGGAATAATTGATGAGATTATTTCTTTATCACAATATATGCCTCTACATTATCATCTACTGAAACAAATTTTACTGGTGCTAGATGAACACTGAAGAATTTCATTTACTCGTAACACCTAATCTGTCAATGATCTAAAATTTGATATATAACAAAAAGTTTTTTAATAAAAAGACTTTTATTATGAAATCTAAAGAACTTTTTAAAATGGATGGCAATTTAAATTATGATAAAAGTCAAGGCAGAACTTTTATTAAAAAAAACAATGATGATGAATATTCATATATGAGAAAAATAAACTTTGGAAAATGCCCAACTTGCAATAGATATAATACTGATTGTGGATGGTGTCAATCATGTGATCCATATCTATTAACCAAAGGATGGACTAGTGGCAATGGAATGATAGATGCATTGATTAAAAGTACACAACTTAAAGCAACTAAGTATGATAATGAATTTTATCTTCAATGGGTTCCTTATAACAATTTAACAAATATTGAAAAGATAATTGAAGGTGAATTTGCAACTATATACAAAGCTACATGGATAAATGGTTACAAGAATGCATTTGTTGATAAAAAACTTAATTGGAATAGGATTGTGGCACTAAAACAATTACAAAATATTTCTCATGAATTTCATATTGAGGTAAATTATTTTTTTTTTTTCAGATTTCTAAATATTATCCATTATTATTGTCAAATTAAATATATTTTTTTAGTTCAAAAATTATGTCAAGTTTCATGATAAACATCAGACAATTAAAATATATGGATCAACACAAGATCCAACTACAAAAGATTATATGCTTGTAATGGATTACAAAAAAGATAAAAGTATTCAAAATTATTCATATAAAAGAGAACAAAAATTTGGAAAATGCTTGATTTGCAATACATATAATACTAATTGGGCATGGTGTCAATCATGTGATCCAAATCTATTAACCAAAGGATGGACTAGTGGTAATGAAACACTAGATGAG